CCCTCCCCCGCCACCCCCCCGAGGTGGGCATGGTGGTGAGGCTGAATTCTTTACCCTCTAATCATGCCTTGGTCTTTCCTGAAGGTGTGCAACAATGCCCTCCCAGCCCACTTCACCCAAGAGTTGTTTAATTAGAACAAAAGACACTTACATCACTCAGGCAATTACAAGGAATTAAGGAGCTATGTGTGAAGCATCAGAGACAAAAGACAAAGTTTACTATTTCTTATTGTATCACAAGAACAAGCCTGTAGTATTAGTGATCTTATAAGTATTTTACAGTTCTTTAATCTGCCATGAAAGACAAACCACTCTTTAAATCAAGGGGTAAACATTTAACTGCCTACTACAGTGCCTGGACAAACAGCAATGCTGAGTGAAGGGGGCCTGGTGAAAGAACAAGATGGGTAAGAAGTGGTATGAACCGCTTCATTTAGACCAGCCAAGTGTCACCATGCAGGGGACCTACATGTAGGAATGTAGGTTCAGTGCTGCAACATCACAGGTCTGATTATTCAAGAAGAGCCAGAAGTCCTTATTTTTGTGTGAAACTTCCCAATTTCTAAAACACAGTACAGTCCAAACATACATATCTTTAGGCTAAATATAGTCAATGAATGCAGAGGGTGGGGGTGGGGTCAAAAGGTACAAATTCCCAGTTATAAAAGTGACTATAGTTAGTAATACTATATCACATAATTGAAAGTACCTCAGAGAATGGACCTTGAAAATCCTCACCATAAAGAAAAAAATTTCTCTAACTATGTACAGTGACAGTAATTAACTGGACTTATTATGGCCACTTTGCAATACATACAAATACTGAAGCATTACACTGCACATCCAAAACTAATATAATGTTATGTCAATCATACCTCAATTTATATTCAATATATGTATATATACAAATCAACTGTCTCAAATCCTCTCAACTCTTATTCATCAGGAGAACCTGCCAGCAAAACCTACCTAAATTTCTAATTAAGTGCATCCTCCAACATACTTTCTCAAAGTAATTAAGTTAAAGCTTCCAGGCCATGCAAAATAATAAAAAGTAAGAAGACCGACATGTGACCAATTAATCCCCATTCTGTTTTATTAGTTTCCCGAAATTGGTAGTATAAAAGTGGTAGTAGGACTGGTAGCAGTTACAATAAAATTTCTAAACTCCCAACTAACTCTGATACATCTCTCATAATGTAATTTAACCTCTGGAGTATTCATAAAAATTTTAATAATCTTATATATCACCAACAGTACTATAAATCATTTCACTTAATTTCTTACATCAGATAAAGTTTATATTTCATTATTATACTATAACTGCCTCAAACGCTTAGATGTTAATGTACTCAGTATACTTACCAAAGTTTATGTAAATCTTCATTACTTTTGTTCCTTAATTGCTGACAGGTCCATGAAGCTCCTATTAAAGTGATAAACTCATAACGTGAAATAATTTTCTAGTTACGTGTCCTTTGGCAAATTACTTAATCTCTCTAAACCTGTTTCCTTATCTATAAAATATATAATAGCTTTTTATACTATAGTACAATATATAATTAGGACTTAATTGTGATTAAATTAGATATTAGTAATGTGACTAGCAATAGCATTCAAAACATCTCAGTATTTGTACAAAATATATTTTCAGTCTAATGTCAAAATACTTACTATTCTTATAAATTAATATTCAATTATCTCTAAAAAAGTGAAATCTAAAACAAACCCCAAACCTCACTTCAGTTAATAATTTCAACCCACTCCTCTTCTAAACCTTTTGTCAACCTGCCAAAGAATAGTTTACTATTATACTCTCCTTCTATTTTTCTCTAACAGACATTCCCAAAGGAACTAAAAAAAGAAATAACATAAGCAATTCCCAAACTGGATAAGTAATCCAAATATGATAGAAGGTTTAATAAATATATTTAATACTGATCAATCCAAATATCTCACCAGATTTCACCTTTTCTTCCCCCCAATTCTTTGGGTCATCAAAAAATTCTTCCAGTCCTCTCCTTGACAATGTGGTATGAAGTAATCTACACTGGTGAAAAGATGTGACATCTGATGTATTCTTAGTCAACAGACTAAGAGAAAACCTGCAACTGAACATATATGAACAAGTGATTAAAGAACATCTGGATTTTATAGGCAATAAATGGGATCATTTCTCCATTTACAATGTCAAAAAACCAACTTGGGGATTCTGCACAAGAAACAATAAACTCATAAAATGCTTTAGAAATTATTTTTAATATCCCTAATATAGATACTGTAATTTATCCTGTAATTTAGAGCATAATTTCAGAGATAATATATTGACATAATTATATTTTACAGTAACATTTTTAGCTCCTTCATATGCTGCTGGTGGGCATATAAGTAGATAAAAGCATTCTGAAGTTTAATTTTGCAACACATCTGAGGCCCAATGCTTCCTCCTTTAAGCCAGTAATTCCACTAGATTTAGAAATTTCAACTAAAGAAAAGATCATGTACGGGAATTGATATATCAAAATGTCTATTGTGATGATCATTTTGAAATGTATGAAAATATCAAATCATTATGTTGTACACCTGAAACTAATTAGACTTTTAAAAAGTCTATTAAGGCATTATATATGATAACAAAAAGCTGACAATAATGTAAACATGTAACTTGGAAATGGTTAAAATAATTATTGTGCATCTGTATGATAATTTATTATGTAGCAATCTAAAAGTCATACTTGTAAACAATATTTAATGACCTGGAGAAATAATTTAAAAAACAATAATGAAATGTATCACAAGTGCTGTATTCCTACCCCCCCTCCCAAAACTAACCTGAATCTAATCATGAACAAACAAGCAGACAAATCCAAATGAAGGAATATTCTAAAAAGGTTGACTTTATTAAAAAACATTAGAGAAAGGCCCCGAGTGTACTTTCCAATCCTGTGTAATGTTTAATTCTTAGCAACTGAATCAAAGCAGTGTTAAATTATGGCAATATTTGCACTTTGGGAATGAGTACATAATGTATGATCACACTCTGCAAACGCCACTTTTAAAGCTGTTAATAGACTTTGCACCTTTTCTTTGACAAGGATGTGTCATATTTAAATTTTTACATTCATCATGGCTACAGGTAGAACTAGGGAGGGGGGAATGTAATTTTTTATGGGAATTTTGATATGAAAAGAAACTAATCATTTATTTATACAATAGGCTTGGCTCAAAAAGTGTTTTTCAACTTGGTATTCCTAATGTGGGATGTGACTTTATTTTTAGTAGCAGATTTGGATGTAGACTGACATAGCTGAATGTCTTAATAAATTTAAATTTGAAGATAAAAAAAACATTAATGACATGAAAGAGAAAAAAAGAAACTGTTTTGGATTAAAGAAGACTAAAAAGATATGACAATTAACATGATAAATGATCACTGATTGAACCCTGAATAAAAAAGAAAGGAAAAATATTCCCAGTGTGATCGTTGTAGTATTGTGGTTAAGATATTTCTTATTTTTAGGAAATTCATGCTGAAATGTCATGATGCTTGCAATTTTGACATGCCTCAAATATTTCAGAAGAATAAAAGTACGGATATAAAAAGAATAAAAAATGTGACAAAATACTGGGGAGTGATTAATGTAAGTGAAGAGTATATGGTTATTCTTTGTACTACTTTTACAACTTTTCTTTTGGTTTGAAATTGAAAAAAAAAGTTGGCGAAACAAGGGTAAAATATAAAAATGCATGTATGTAAGTATGATCCTGACTTTATTTTAAAATTACATGTATGTGTATATTCTGAAAGTGAAAACGAAGAAAACCTGTTTATCTCTGAATGGTAATATCATAGTTGATATTTACTCTCTTCTTCAAAAACACTTTCCCTTATTTTCCAAAGTGTCTCTAAATGAACAGATAACTTAATAGTAATGATAAAAATCTAAACTTATTTCTTAAGGAAAAACGATGATGAGATGGAAGAGACAATTGATTCAAGTCTGCCACTTTTCAAGTTACAGCCTCAGAACCTCTGCAAAAAAAAAAAAAAAAAAAAAACAACCAAACCAAACCACTGCTTATCTCTGAGGTTAACGCAAGGAATTACATTATAGCTGAGAGATGCCCAGTAACAGTGCTGAATTCAAAGAGCACATACATTACTTCCTCTTGGGGGAAAAAAAAAAACACCAAAAACCCAATAATTTGTAAAATTCAACTCATTAAAAACAAAAGCTAATAACAAGGAGGTAATCGTACAGGTTAACGTCAAACATGATCTGTCTGTCCGGGAGACAAGCGGTCTTTCTACAAATAACCACCGTTTGTCGTATATTCTTTTCTCACACCTGCAAGGCGACTTTCAGTTCACTCGGCTTTCATTTAGTCACTCAAAATTTACTCAACACCTCTTTTTGACAGGCTCTGGGAGTACACATCCCCTTCCCCCCCTTTTAAGCCATCGAACCTGACAGAGCGCTCAGTTCTACAGCCAAAAGCTCTTCAGTGAATTTTTAAAAAAACTCACCCAGCCAAGGAGGATGCTTCTGTATCTCCACATTTAATTAAACAAATACTGGGTTTCTACAGACCCTGAGAACTGCCTGGTCCACAGTAGGTGGCAACAAAATGTTTGAGGAAGATACGTACATGTCGCAGATGGGAGACTTCTCCAAGGTCACTGACACCTCACGAAGATGGGCTCGCGCCTAGCCATCAAGGCGGCCTTTCCAGCCCTAAACGTTCTCAGCATCTCAACAATCAAACAAATTCCAAAGTTGGGGAAGTGGACAGACCTACCCCTCAAATAACTTACCCTGTGCTAGCAAGGGCTTGAGAACTTATTAACGACGTAGAAGCCTTCAGAGCAGCCGAGACTCTCCTATAGAAAACAGCCAAACTGGCAGCAGCCATTTTTCATATCAGCAGGGAAACCGCATTTCCGCCGAACTGGCGTCACTTCCGGAGTCTCACGCCGACCGGAAGGCGAGAACGGGAATTGGCTTTGCCCTCAGTCAACATGGCCCCTTTCCGGCTTCGCCCTCTTTGGAAGATTGGCTCTCTCGGACTCCGTTACTCTCCTCCGCTGTTCTCTTGCCCGTAGTAGCCATGGCGGCCATGAGTCTTTTGCATCGGGCTTCGGTTTCTGCAGTGGCCGCTCTGTCCCGCCGCCGTCTTGGCACTCGACTTGGATTCGGAGGCTTCCTCACCCGTGACCTCCCGAAGACTGTCGGTAGGTACTAGCTCTGGGAGAAAGCGAGATTAGGGAACGCGGGAGGAGAGATGGAGGGCTCTTCCCGGGTGACCTTGGTGGAATCCAGAGGGAGCCGGGAATAAATTGAGGACTTGGGGTTTGTGAGAAGGAGCATGGGCTGTGTGAGGAAACTTAGGGCTTTCCTGAAGTAATGAGGTCGATCGTATTTAAGTAATTAATTAGAATTTTTGTGGCACTTAGTCATTCACCTATCCTGTTGCTAATTTGTGCATGAAGCTGAGGTTAGAAAGCAAAGAACTAAGACCTCTGTTTCTCAGGCACACGATTCTTTGTATCTTGCACCTGCGCTAGATTTTACTCTCACAAGGTGGGAAGTCATGTTGCTGAGGATCCTGCCGATGCTAAGTGGTAATATATGGTCAGGTGGAGAGCTCGGGGCTAACTCATTCTCTAGGCACAGTGATCCGCCTTCATGTTACTTTCAGGTGTCCACGAAAATGTTTTCATTTACATTTCTTTTAAAATCAGAAGGTAAAGGACTGTAATGTTAATGCGTATGTGATGGTAAATCTAGCCTGAATTGTATTCGTTTTATATCAATGCAGTCACAAAATAGTTATTTTTAATGTCTGTTTAGAGAGGAAGGGATCTATATGAAGATCATAGGTCTTTTCCTAGGTCCTAGGAAAGTCAGGGCAGTCGTGGAAGGTTTATTTGGAGACTGTGGATTGAACTCTAGGGGAATGAATAATCATAATATTAATAGCAAAGCGTCAGATGCTTTGCATCCAGTCTGTTTGATTCCCTCTTGGTTTCTGCAAAGTGAATACAATGTTATTATCCCCATTTTACAGATGAGGAAGCTGTGACTCAATTATTACAAAAACAATGCACTACTGTATTAAACTGAATAATAATGACAGCTAACACTTATTGAGCATGTATTATGTGCTGGACACCATACAGATATTAATGATATTCATTTAATCCTTTTAATCGAAAATGTGCTGTAAGCTATTTGTCCTATACAATAGATGTAGATACAGAAGAAGTGAAATTTAAAGGCAGAAAGGTTCTTCTCTGACTTAAAAATATCTGTTTCTGTTTACTGCTCTTCTCCCAATTTAATTTGAGTTATGTCATTTCACATGAAGAGGCATTATACATAGGGACTTAGTGGAAAAATGATGGAAAGGACCAATGGTATTCAACGAATTTCCAGCAGGAATTTGAACCTGCTACAAAGCCACATGTGCTCACATTCTTTGATAAAAATCCTTTGTGAGTCTTTTCTGATTACACATATCCTCTTCACATACCCCCTGCTGCCCCATAGTGTTTGATCATGCCTATCTGGAGATAAACAGAGGTAAAATTTCACTCCTAGATTCTGTTTATACACTACTCCCCGTTCTTGAAGTTCTGGAAGGATCCTTGCAGGTAATCTACACCCTTTCCACTCAAGAGCAGAAAAGGATATAATAGCTATAGTGAGTGTTACTGTGTTTTAGCTGTGAACCTGTTTTCAAAGGTATTTTGTGTGTGAAGCCTAATCTGTCACTGTGGTATAAAAGTTCATAATCTGCTTTATATTGTTTATGCCTGCCTCTGGGCTTCCCAGGTGGCACAGTAGTAAATAATCCGCCTGCCAGTACAGGAGATGCAAGAGACGTGGTTTGATCTCTGGGTCAGGAAGATCCCCTGGAGAAGGAAATAGCAACCCAGTTCAGTGTTCCCGCCTGGACAATCCCATGAACAGAGAAGCCTGGCCAGCTACAGTCCATGGGGTCACAAAGAGTTGGATACAACTAAGCAATTGAGCGCATACAGGCACGCCCGCACACATTCGCTGCCTCTCTGGGAATGTAAGATCCAGCAGAGTAGACAACCTTGCCTGCTTTTGTTTCCTCTGGAGCTGAACTGTTCAGTTCAATTCAGTCACTCAGTCGTGTCTGACTCTTTACGACCCCATAAACCGCAGCATGCCAGGCCTCCCTGCCCATCACCAACTCCCGGAGTTTACCCAAACTCATGTCCATTGAGTTGGTGATGCCATCCAGCCATCTCATCCTCTGTCGTCCCCTTCTCCTCCTGCCCCCAATCCCTCCCAGCATCAAGGTCTTTTCCAATGAGTCAACTCTTCGCATGAGGTGGCCAAAGTACTGGAGTTTCAGCTTCAGCATCAGTCCGTCCAGTGAACACCCAGGACTGATCTCCTTTAGGATGGACTGGTTGGATCTCCTTGCAGTTCAGGGGATGCTCCAGAGTCTTCTCCAACACAGTTCCAAAGCATCAATTCTTCGGAGTTCAGCTTTCTTCACAGTCCAACTCTCACATCCATACATGACCACTGGAAAAACTATAGCCTTGACTAGATGGACCTTTGTTGACAAAGCAATGTCTCTGCTGCCTAGGTTTCAACTCTGGCTCCAGAATTCAACAATTCTGTGAATTTGGGTCATCTCATTTGGGAAGTTAAGTAAAAGACACTTAATTACTCTGAACCTACAGTTCTTCATCTTTAAAAATAGAGGATTTCTTTTTTTTTTTTTTTTAAGAGAGGATTTTTACTACAAATGTGCTTATATTCTGTTGACTTAACAGGGAAATAAAAGCAGTCTTATTCTCACTGACAAGTACTTATAACCCTGAGATGTGCTTCCGCATGATTTTGCATCTTTCTAGAAATGTTATTTTGAAATAAATGTATCTTACCATAAGAACTGTTTAAAAAAAAGAGAGTTATAACTTTAACTTACCTCAAAGGTAGTGGTAAAGAGTGAGTGGGGAGGATCTGCAGCACCAATCATTACCTTCTTCAAGGCCCTGTGGCCACAACTTTCTAAACCTTTAGTACTGCCATGTTATCATCACCATCAGCACAGATTAAAGTGTTCTATTTAATTAAATTATTAAATGTCAAACATCAGTGGATTCTAGAAACAAGCTTAAGTTCTCTCCTCAGCTGCAGAGAACTTTTGTGTTGAAGGCTGATGTCCATATGTTATGACTTTAAAACCTGAGAAGAGTATTAAAATGATTTTATAAACAAAAGTCGCGTGGACTGAGTTCACACATGGATGATGGGGCATGTTAATAGATTCTAGGGACAGTTTTAAGAGGTGTAACTGTCAGAAAAGTAAAGGATGTGTTTTCTGATACATCTGAAAATGGGGCTTTTGGAATAGGTAGGTTTTGAGAGAGAAGGCTGCAAAAAGGGAAGTCAGGACCACATTAGGGGAGGGGGTGAATACAAAAGGACTTCCAGATGGCGCTAATGGTAAAAAAAAAAAAAAAAAAAAAAAAAAACCCCGCCTGCCCATACAGGAGATGTAAGAGACGCTGGTTCGATCACTGGGTTGGGAAGATCCCTGAAGGAGGGCACAGCAACCCACTCCAGTATTCTTGCCTGGAGAATCCCAAGGACAGAGGAGCCTGGCAGGCTACAGTCCGTGGGGTTGCAAAGATTCAGATATGAACGACTGAAGCGACTTAGCACATACACGCTCACATACACGCTGAATACAAAGCCAAAGTATCTTAACAATTTGGTAGGCAGCCGAGAGTATTCAGCAGAAGAGCAGCATCAGTAGTATGTTTTAGGAAGATGCATCTGAATATTGGTTGACTTATAAAGCGTGTTGATTACTTAAGCCAATGAGGTGAAGTGGGCATGGAGAGAAATGGAAAGTTTGAATTTTAGAATCAAGAGGCCTTGACAACTGATGGATGAGGTGTAGGAAGACAAATGAGATTTTAGCTTGGGTAATTGAGTTGGTGGTACAATTAACTGGGAATAGTCAGAGAATGAAGGAAAGAAAATTAGCTTTGGGGGTTGTCTTAGAGACACGCACAAAAATCTTACATTGAACTATTTGATCTTCACAAGTATCACAGTTGTCCACAACATAACTTTCCTGAAGTTATTTGCATTAAAAAAATGGTTATTGAAACCTTCCACATAATTAATGAATACCTAATTGAGAAATTCCAGGCTTTAGAGAGTGGTAGAAGGATCTGGGTTCCAGAAATCCTGCCAGCCAGCTGGTTGTAGGCAGTGTTCACGCTAGTGATTTTAGACTGTAAGCAGATGCTCCTACTGTTAATACAACAACAAATCATGAAAAGAGTTTAGTGCTATGAGGTATCTTTTAGAACAGTTAATAGTATAACAGTTATCTGGTACATTTAATGACATGAATATTTGTTGTTCAAAAGTAGGAAAGCAAGAAGAAAGCAAGAAGTTTACATTACTGTGTAATGTTGCTAGAATGCAGCCAGTCCAAGCTTTCTTCCATATTATAGTTTCTGTATTTATTAATACTTGCATTCATAAATAATTGTCCCTAAAACCCCACATAGAGTTTAATCCTTGTGTGTGTGTATTTGTGTGTGTATGTGTTTCTGTCTGAAAGGGAAAGTTGAGACTATACTGTCTCTTCTGGATTTACTTTCAGGGCCTAAAGAAGGATTCCCTCCCAATTTTTTATTTACTTAAGAAATGTAAATTCAGCGATAGAGAGCTCCTGCCACTTGCAGACACTAAAGAGCACTGGAGATACAGTACTGAATAATTCAGCTTAGCGGTTTGTTCTAGAGGAAGTAACCAAATGACATTAAGGAGAATAAGTAGGCGACCAGCTTTGGATAGGGTAGTCAGAGAAGACTTCTTTGAAGAGGTGACATTTGATCTTATCTCTGAAGGATGGAATGAGGAGGTGGCCATTCAGAGAGCCCAAGGAAAGGCTTTCAGGCAAAGGGGAAAGTGAGGGCAAAAACGTGAGAGCAGGAAGGAGTTCTTGATGATGGGAGGAAACCATTGAGATTGATCAGTAGGAAAGATACGTCTTTTTATTCTAAGAGGATCCATCTGTCAGATTGTTTGAGAGAAAAGACCTTAGAAATCTTCTAGGCCAATCCCCTGTAGTATGCATTGTTAATATTCCATTATTGACACTCAAATAACTTCAGAGTGGGGGTTGGAGAGGCAGTTCAGTTTTATTTTCAACTGCTGAAATTGTCAGAAACTTCTTTCTTGTGTTAAGCTAAAAACAGTCTTTCACACATTGATCCTAGTTCTTCCTTTCGGTTCAGTACAGCCACTGTCAGTTGACAGCCCTCAGCTATTTAAAGGCACTTGTCTGGTCTCCATCCTGACTTCTTTTTGGTAGACCAGTAAGCTTCCGTTCTTTCGGCAGGTCAGTTTCCAAGGTGTTGGGGGCATGCTCCAGATTGTCCCTCTAAAACAGTGTACTCTGGGATGGACACGCTTCAGCAGCTCTAATTAAGAGGTGGGTTGAGGGCTCCTTCTGTTTTGACCCTGTATTTCTGATATATCAGATTAAGATTGGATTACCTTTGAGGTTTTTTGGTAACCACATGACACCAGTGACTTTTCTTTCTTTTTCTTTTTGCTGTCACCACAGAGCTTGCCAGATCTCAGTTCCTGGACCAGGGACTGAACCTGGTCCACAGCAGTGAAAGCCCAAAATCCTCACCACTGGGCCACCAGGGAACTTCCACCAGTGACTTTTCTTAAGTTTGTGAGCAGCTAAATTTCTGGATGGTTCAGACAGGACTTCCCACTTACTATACTTAATCCTTTGAGATTCAGCCTTTTGTAAATGCAGTAGGAGGGATTTGGGGAGGATCCTATTTCATCATTGGTGTGGTAGCTACTCTTAAAGCATTCGCTCTGTAATGTCAGGAATACCATCTCCACCTCATCTAGGCCATTCATAGAAATCGCGAGAGAACCCTTTGGCAGGTTACTGCATTAAGTAATCTGTACCTTTTGGGTATGATCAGGATTCCCAATGACCAGTTGCCCTTTACCAATTTTATCTAACTTGCTACTTCTCTCGGCTTATAATGTACTTATAATGTATAATCCTTGTACTCCCCTAGACTCCACCAACCTGTCTAAAGAGGAACTTTAATTAGGGCCTGTTCTTTTCTGAGACTGTATTCCTTTCTTTCCTTTGTTGTCCTTATAGATTTGTAATTTGTTATCTACTTTTTCTCTCCCAGCAGGATCTATATACCTTTTATGCTATATACCTAGCAAAGACCTGTATATAGTGGGCACTTAAATAATATTGAATTAGTGAGTGGTTTGTACTATTATCCAACCCATTTTAGTCTCCTCCACAAAAATTTCTATTGTGTCTTTCAAATGATTTATCGAACTACATACTTACCTTGTCAAATTCTCTTGTTATTTTAGAGGCCTTAGTAGTATGATTTATACTTAGTAAATTCATGCTAGCTTCTAATTCTCTTGTGAATTAACCTTCTAAGTTCCTTGTTCAAGCTGCTGGAGGTGATAGCAAATTTTAAAAGACAGTTCTTGTTTTCAAGGTACTTACATTTCAGTGGGGGCAATTAAAGCAGGTTTGCACACCAATAGAGTATACAGCAGTTCAGAGGTAGGAGAGTTCTCATCTTGGTTGGGAAGCATTTGGTTTCTTAGAGGATAAGATGTCACCTGGGTCTAAACAGTAGATTTCAGGAGGGGGAGGTCATTCCTGACATTTAAGTTTGAGCAGTGGGTACAATCTTTCTGACATCTATTATGACTGAAATTCCTTTAATAGTTCAAATTCCTGCTGGAGAAGTGTTGAATAATTATCTTTCCATTTATTTTGCATCAAGTCCCTAATGTATATTTCTTCATCATATGTGGCAATTTAAATTAATTTCTTTTGCAGCATTAGCACATATTTATTGCAGAGATAAACAAAAAGTTCTGTGGTCCACCAAGAGTGTCTGATCTTCCTACCTGCTACTGGAACAAATTCAAATATTCATTTAGATATTTTTTCAATAAATATTTTGAATATTGATGAGTAAAAATGATGAAAATGTTGAATAAAAATGAGAGTTAAAGTTTAGGACAGTACATCTTAAACACACATATATATTTTGGCAGAGAAGAGATGCTTTATCATGATTCACATTAAACATGCATGTAAATTTTCTTATAATCTGATTTTTATCTTCAAATATAACAATATATCCATATAAACCTTGTGTATAACAGGGTAACTTAATATTTTTAGCTCCTGTGCGACACAGTGGAGACCATGGGAAAAGACTGTTTATCATCAAGCCTTCCGGATTCTATGACAGACGTTTTTTGAAATTACTGGTAAGTTAAAACTTTTGTTGAACTAAACTCTACGTATAAATAGGAATTTTTTTCCTATATAGAAAACATCTTTCATTTTATAAAAGATTTTGTTTTGTAAATGCATATTCCTTTTCTCAAAAAATATTGAGATTTTGTAGTAAGGTCTGGCTTGTTATTGAATTTATTTTTAAATTAGTGAGACTTTCCTTTTTTCAAGAAAAATTCAGACATATTGGAGGAATAAATTGAACTATTTCTTTCTTCTCAAGATTATGGGGTTTTGAAATGCCCTGCCCCCCCCCCCCCCCCAGTCTATAAATTTTAAAACTGAAATTGGATTCATTTGGTAATAATTATTTGTATTACTAAAATATTCTTTAAATTAGCAAAGAACTTATTGAAGGACTTCTTTAAATATGTAACTCCATTATTTTGAGATGATTTTTAAATTCTTTGTTGTTTAGGAACATTGATCTCAGAGAGTGAAGCAAATATACAGTTGAGTGTGAGGAAAGATAGGAAACAGTTATGTGAAAACTTTTTTTTTCTTTTTTAATCTTAACAGAGATTCTACATTTTGTTGACTGGGATTCCAGTAGCAATTGGCATAACTTTGATAAATGTATTCATTGGTGAGTATCTTCCCCATCGACTAGACTAGTAAGTTTTTAAGACCTGTGTACATTAATATAAAAAAAATTATGGCTATTAGAGGGAAAAGTTCTTTACATAAAAAACTTAAGCATGAGAATTCACTTCAACCAAATCTTAATCTGCAGTAATGTACGGTGGTTCTTTTTCTAATTTTTTCCCCCAAAAAACCTTTAAGGTCACTGACTCTATAGACCACATTAAAGACCCGACTTCTTCCGCCTTCTCAAACCAGCTTTGATAAGTCTGAATAAGGAAAACAGAAATACAGGTGGAAGACAAGCTGAGGGATAGAATAAATTTTTTTATCCATCCTGGAATATAGAAAGTTATAATCTTCTTAAAAGAATGGATTTGTGAATGACAGTAAATACGAGGTTTTCCTGGAAAATTCTGCTCGAAGTACTTCTAAAACTTGAATCCTTGAATATTTTGTTTACGAGTTTTAGGAAAACTCAGAGGAATAATTTGTTTTTTAGTTTATCTTGTTACACTAAATAAAAACAAAATGAGAACTCTTGTATAATGCCTGTATGCAAAGCCTTACATATAGAAGACATCTTAAAAAATAGTGAATGATTTTCCACCAGATTGAAGTGAATTTAAAATATTAGACATCTTTGTTGCTACAAAACAGAAGGTTCTTTAAAACCACAAGAGATAGGTTTCTTATTTAAATGGTGAAGAATTAACATAAACTGTTACTAAAGTTGAACATCACTGTTTTCTCTTATCAGGTGAAGCTGAGTTAGCAGAAATTCCAGAAGGCTACGTCCCAGAACACTGGGAATATTTCAAGGTTGGTATAGGTCACTGACAGTTATTTTCAGGGTTAGGTGCCTTGTCAATGTACTGGTTAATAGCTTAATTTAGCAATTGTGATACAGTTTTAAATTCAGTTTTTTGTATCAAGTAAATGATGCATTTTGTGTTCACTTTTTATAAGCAACTTCTTTGGGTAATTATCTGCATTGTTGTATTACTTTAAGCTTTATGGTTTTTTAAAGACTGACTTTGTGCTATGTTATTAATCTAGCATAGTAACAGAATTTATCCTATGTTCTACACCATAGGAAAAAATTGTCCTGATACTAATGCTGGATGTCATTTGTTGAATACTCACTGTGATAGGCACTTTGATAGTGTTTTGCAAATATTATCTCATTCCATGTAAATCGTACTATTATTTTTCCCACTCTAAAGCTGAGGAAACTGAATCTTAAAAGGAGGTAGGTGACCTGTTTCAGGGATAGGGTCCGTATTGGTACCTAGAGGGTCTTGACTGCAAAGCCTGTACTATGAATTAATCATTTTACCATCCTGTCATTGCTATTACAGTCCCAGATTAATTCTGTCTTTACAAGTGTTGTAGTAAGATGGCCTTGATTACAGTGTGTGTTTCCATGTTTTGTTTTCTGAATGAATTATATTTTAGAAAAGAAATATTTCATTATTAAATCTTGAGGTAAAGCCATACAGTTAGCTTCTCTTTGCTCACTGGTAAAAACAGCTCCATTTTGGGATCACCAAACCCCACTTTCACTCTGAAACCTGCCACTTAAGATACTCAGAGCATAGTGTAATAAGAATTAGCAAAGTTTTGGAGTCAGCCTGGCCTGAGTCCAGACACTGCAACCTAGTAACTGTACAGCCTTGTAGAATTTGCTCACCTGTAAATGAAGACAAATGTGGTATCTACAGAATGAATTACTTAAAAGTGTTACTGATTAACCTGAGATGATCATTTTAGGAAAACAGTACATTGGAAAAGTGACATACTTTTTAGACACTAATCTTAAAACAAATTTTCTCTTGTAGCATCCTATATCAAGATGGATTGCCCGAACTTTCTTTGATGCTCCTGAAAAGAATTATGAAAGAACAATGGCTATCCTTCAAATTGAAGCTGAAAAGGCTGAATTACGGTAAAAGAAGGGTGGGGAGTAGAGTGTAGGGAAGAAAATCCTTTCCTACAGTTGCAAACCACAGGAAGAAATTGAATAAAACTATTTCTTTAACACTGTAAGATGTTCTGTGTAAAACGGTGAAGATGGCGAAAGGATCAGTCTGTTTAGAGTAGAGATGATGTATTGGAGACTAGGAGACTATTAGAAGATAATTTCTGTCAGATTACAAGGAATTCTTTTTTTGAAATGTCCTGACTCTTAAATGCAAAGCAGCCTTCTCCTTCCCCTTCTCTCCACAATTCCCTTTTCTTCTGCACCCAATCTGAACCTTCAAGGTGACCACTATTTAATAATGATTTCTTGTATACATTCCTAGAAAAAATTTTATACATTAAAAATATAATATATATCATTTACAAAATGTATTAACACAAATGGAATCCTATTACCAACACTGTTCTGTGCGGTTTCTTCATTTCATGTAAATACATAGTCATCCCTTGGTATCTGTGAGAGATTGGTTCCAGGACCTCCAGCAGATATAAAAAATCTGAGGATGCTCCAGTCTGTGTATAAAATGGTGTAGAACAGTCAGCCCTCCAAGGATAGGGAGGGCGTACTGTATCTTGATGATCTTCTTGTAATAACATATACTCCATGCTTTCTAATGGTTGCACTGCATGGATGTGCCTTAATTTTTTTAACCAGTAGGGGACCTATTGTTGGTATTTAGGCTCTTTTCAAGTTTTTTGATATTGTACATTGTGCTGTGCTGAATATCCTTATGCATATATTTTGCATATTTATTCAATATATCTGGAATATAAATTCCTAGCACTGGCTCTGTTAACCAAATGTTATGCTTTACATTTTTAAAAAATTTATTTGTTTATTTTTGGCTGTGCCGGGTCGTCTTTGCTGTGCAGGCTTTTCTGTAGGTGGTGACAAGCAGGGACCACTCCCCAGGTGTGATGCACAGGCTTCTCATTGCGGTAGCCTCTCTCGTTGTAGAGCATGTGCTCTGGGGTGCGCGAGCTTCAGTAGTAGGGCATGCGGGCTCCTGGGCACTGGTCCAGTAGTTGTGGCACACAGGCTTAGTTGCTCCAAGGCATGTGGGATCTTCCCAGACCAGGGATTGAACCTGCATCTCCTGCATTGACAGGCAGATTCTCTACCACTGAGCCACAAGGGAAGCCCATGCTTTACATTTTAGATAGCTACTGTCAGATTCCTCTTTAAAAAGTTGTACCAGTTGTCTTTTCTGTCATCAATACATAGTAAGTAATTCTGTTTCTCCATACCTTTCCCAGTAAAGGAATTTATCAAACCTAAGTATTTTTGCTCGTAAGATAGTTGAAAATGTTATCTCATCATTTCAATTCTGTATTTTTTCATTGTCTATTGGTTGTTTTTCTTTTTTATAAATTGCCCATTTTTCTACTAACTTGTGCATTGATTAAAATAACCCCTTTTGTCTTTGTTGCAGATTTGTTTTCTCTGGCTTGTCATTTGTCTTCTGACAGGGTAGAATTTTTTTGCAACATAGTGTTTTTATGTTTCAGATAACAAAAGTGCAGTAATACCTAATATATTTTGAACACTTACTAGATACTGATACTTTAATTACTTTATATATATTTATTTGTTTAATTATTGTTAGGTTTGTCAGTCTTTTTCTTTAGCTTCTGGAATTGTATGTCATGTATACGTCTCTGGGAGTAACAAAATAAGTAAATATACAAGTGTCAAATTATTTTTGTAATGTTTGCTCATATTTCCTTTTGCTACTTTTAAATATGATCTTATTTGAGATTTATTTTGCTATTTGAAGTGAGGTTTACCCACAATCAAATGTACCAATTAAGTTCAGTGAGTTTTGACAAAAGCAAACTGTAATCACCACCAGCAGGTCATTTTGATCACCTAGTGAGTCTCTTTCCTGTCCTTTCAATCAACCTCCCTTCCTCTGCTCTTGACCCCAGGCTACACTGATCTACTTCTTATAACTTTGTAGTTTACAAAAATTGCTGTGATATTGAAGAATATTTAAATGATTAAATGAACATATGATTAGCTTGTTTTCTGGATGTAAAATTACATGTACATGTAGTTACCATATAAAACTGTCGTTAAGTATTTAAGAGTGTGAAACAGCATTATGCTTCCCATTTGGTTAACTTTGGACATTTTTGAACTTCAGACATATACCTTTGGTAAAACACAAGATTCTAAAATTTCTTAGACATATGGAGATCCTGAATAATTTCAAAACAAAGTAAAGGACCCTGACTTTTATCCCTAAAAGAAAAATGCCAGTGTGAGCATGGAATGGGGAGTATCTACAGTTTTTTAAAAAATAGATGTTTAGGTGTGTAGAAAACTGAAGCGTAAATGAAAGGCATAAAATAGGAAGGGACTGTTTTCCATAGGGAGATAACTATTAGTTTCGATCCTCCACAATTTTTAATACCCTATTCATGTGTATATATACACAGTCACAAATGCTTTTTTCTGTTTTTTAATGAAGTGGGAAGATGCTACACATATTCATTTTATACCTTGTTTTTTTAACCTAACAGTATATCTGCTCTCTCCTTTCCATGTTACTATGTATGTAGATTTCCCTCATTCTTTTTAACAGTTGTGTAGGCTGTTCATTATATGGGTGAACCATAATTTGTTTAACCAGTCCTCTGTGATGAATATTTTAATTACTTGCATTTTGAATAATTACATTCTAAAGAGTAAAAAAGAAAAAAGATTATATTTAATCCCCCTGAAAGAGAAATATGGTTTCTTAATAAATATATTATCTTATACTACCACAGAGATATATTATCTGTCATAGATTGGGTTGGTAAGCTGGTTAAGGTTAATAAAGTGAGTAAATAACTATGATAAACTTCCAGTGATATAAAGTTAGTATCTATGTAGTCTATAAAAATGGAAAGTAAAAGGCCTGATGGAAAAGGGATTATTCCAGGAATGTGTGGTAGTTTATGCAAAGGCTTGGCTGTGAAAGAAGGAACCTATCTTTCTAGAGCAGATTATTCAGTTTGTGAAGAAGGATGAGAATGAATAAGTAGATCTTAGAGTTGGAGAACGTTTTTCTTTATCCTGCTTTTCCTTTTCTTTACCAATATTGATGGTCTGTCCAGTGTTGACCAGGCTCAGTGTGATGTTGGTGGCTGGTGAATGAGATACCGTCCCTGCTCTCAAAAGGTTTTCTGTCCTAATAGTGATGGGCAGCCAGTATAGACAGCATGTGTGCTCCTCCAGGAAGGCCTGTTCCTCTTTTAATTCCTAGCATTTGACACAACAGGTAGTCATAATAGTAGACATTCTGTAAATGACTCTCCTAACATTTAAAAGGCAAGAAGACAGGAAATGCATTACCACTGTTCAAGTGAAAGTGATTTGCCCAGACAAAGAATAGGGACAGGAGGAGAGAATTCATTATCATTTCAAGTGATGCTTGAGTGACTAGAAATAATATTCATTGGCTAACTTCAAAAGCAAGATAATAAAAGCCAAAATAAGTCCCAAATTTTGCTTATAGGTGTCTATCAGATATATGCATACACATGGATCTGTGGCGGGACATTATATTTTACACAAAAGCAAGACTCTCCAATGGTTGTTCTTTACAGAGATAATCCATTAAATTTATATTTGGAAATGCTGTAATCACAACATCACTATTCTATTTCTTACAGATTAAAGGAGCTGGAAGTACGAAGATTAATGCGAGCAAGAGGCGATGGCCCCTGGTTTCAGTATCCGACCATCGATAAGGCACTTGTTGATCGTTCTCCAAAAGCAACACCTGACAACTAATCTTTAATTTCTCTAAATACAAAGTATACTGTCTTTAGGTGAAAATAAATTACTAAATATATTCTGTATTTTTTCTGTGTGATAAAAGATCATTTTCATTGCTCTGTTTCTCAATATTGGTTCAGATTAAGGCTGTTTTGTGTGCAATTTCAGTTTTTTCCTCAGCTTTACTGAGGTGTAACTGATAAAGTTGTAAGATGTTTAAAGTGTACATCATGATGATTTGATATATATTGTGAAAGGCAGATTCAGGTGTCTGGTTTGGGGCTTTCTGTTTCCTCTTTTAAGAAGGTTTAAATATGATAAAAAAAAATTCAGAGAAATTGGAATTGTGAACTCGTAAAGGTGTAGCTTTGAAAGATTAATGTTTTACTTGTCTGATAAATGGAAGTTAGAGAAATCTATGTTGAATATCAGGAAATATGCAATTTACATATATGTGAGTGTTATAGATACCTGGATTACTACTCAAGGGCAACTCAGAATTTTAAGTTATACATATGTTGCATCAACTATATAAAATATTAACATCTTAATAAACAATTTTTCAGTGAACAGATCTCAAACTTTAATGTTTTCATGGTTTTTAGCCATAAATTGTTCTTTTTAAATATATACACGTGTTCATTTTTTTTTTAGATGCAATATGCAGTATTCCTTAGGGTCTTATTTTGTAAACACTGGAGAGGTTCCACAAGGTAAAATTATCACTGCAAAAAATTATGAAATGAGTAAAAGCTAAAATAATGGCTGTCGTCTATTAAGCATTTACTGTCTGCCGAGCACTATGCTGAATAACTGCACATTATTCACATTATTTTCAAAATGACCTTAGGAGGTAGTATTACTTTCTGCATTTTACAGATGAGAAGTTGAAGCTCAGAGACTTTAGACACATACTTAATGCTTCAACTTCCAAAATGAACTTTTAGCTTCAAAAATTCATTTTCAGTGAATAGCTTTTGAATAATCTTGTGCCCTAAGGACTTTTTACAATCCAGCCATCATCCTTTGGTTTGGTTGCATTTTCTTATTTCCCCAGAAGAGGGCTGCCTCACCCAGCTACTTGCAGATTTTTTTTTTTTACTTGCAGATTTTGATCTGAGGATTCCTGAAACAATCGAATTACCACCTCATAATTCTGCCAGAGTGTTTGAGAGAAAGATGTCCTATCCCTGAGTTCCTGCTTGCATGAACCATTCAGTTTTGTAGGAGAAGGGGGAGGATCATGGAAGCAGATAAGTCTTGTCAGAGGAAATTGTTAATGATGCTACACCCACGTACCTTTACGTTCAGTATTTTTAGACTTCACATGTTATTTTTCAACACTAGTAAGTTTTATTTTATTTTCTCCTTTCTATTATATACAAAAACTTCTAGAAAATATAGAAAGTGTTACAAGAAATACTGATAATCCCACCATCCATAAAGAAATCTGAGAAATTTTCTTAAATCTTTTTTTTTTTTTTTTTTTTTTTTGGTGNATATACAAAAACTTCTAGAAAATATAGAAAGTGTTACAAGAAATACTGATAATCCCACCATCCATAAAGAAATCTGAGAAATTTTCTTAAATCTTTTTTTTTTTTTTTTTTTTTTTAGCATAGCTGGGGTCATATACAGATATAATGGAGAGATTTTTTTTTTAAACAGATAGAAAGTGTTCTTGGAGGAAAACATTAATAAAACTTTTTTTTATTATCTCCAGTGGGTCACAAAGATACCCCCTGGAGATAAAGTAGTCACCACAGTAGACATTTTCCTCCAAAGAGTTTACTCCAGCACAGGCAATAGGCATTAAATAGCAAATTACATGCACTGGGGAGAAAGAGCACTGTAGCAACCTGTGGCATCCTGAGCTAGTCCACCAAGACAATGAATGGTTGGAAGCTCTTTCCATAGCATCTGGAACATTAGCAGACAGGGACAAAGATCTACTTAGTTCATAGCTTTAACATGAATCTTAAATTATCTTTTTTCTTCTCCTGTGTTTCTATAGGGCCCAGTGTGGTGGTATGTAAAGACATGGGCTTGAACTAAACAGACTTAAGACTAAATCCTGAGCTTGCCAAACACTGTGACCATAATAATGACTACTTATCTATTTGGTATCTGCTGCACCAGCCAGACACCAGAAGCTTTGTATTTAATCTTCCCTCTATCCCATACTGCAAAAATTCCCTCACTGCTCTAAGCTCTATCTCTGAAATGTGAATTCTTCATCCTACAATACTGTTGTGAGGATCACTGGGATGACGCATATAAAGCACCTACAGGTACAGTTCAGTCGCTCAGTCGTGTCCAACTCTACGACCCCATGGACTGCAGCACACCAGGCCTCCCTGTCCATCACCAACTCCCTGGAGTTTACTCAAACTCATGTCCATTGAGTCGGTGATGCCATAGCCTGCTTATTTGACTTATATGCAGAGTATTTCATGAGAAATGCTGGGATGGATAAAGCACAAGCTGGAATCAGGATTGCCGGGAGAATTATCAATAACATCAGATATGTGGATGACACCACCCTCATGGCAGAAAGTGAAGAACTAAAGAGCCTCTTGATGAAAGTGAAAGAGGAGAGTGAAAAAGTTAGCTTAAACATTCAGAAAACTAAGATCATGGCATCTGGTCCCATCACTTCATGGCAAATAGATGAGGAAACAATAGAAACAGTGACAGACTATTTTTTTTTTTGCTCCAAAATCACTGCAGATGACGACTGCAGCCATGAACTTAAAAGATGCTTGCTCCTTGGAAGGAAAGTTATGACCAACCTAGACAGCATGTTAAAAAGCAGAGACATTAGTCAACAAAGGTTCATCTAGTCAAAGCTATGGTTTTTCCAGTAGTTGTATGGATGTGAGAGTTGGACCATAAAGAAAGATGAATGCCAAAGAATTGATGCTTTTGAACTGTGGTGTTGGAGAAGACTCTTGAGGGTCCCTTGGACAGCAAGGTGATCCAACCAGTCCATCCTAAGGGAAATCAGTCCTGAATAATCATTGGAAGGACTGATGTTGAAGCTGAAACTCCAATACTTTGACCACCTGATGTGAAGAACTGACTTATTTGAAAAGACCCTGATGCTGGGAAAGATTGGAGGTGGGAGTAGAAGGGGACAACAGCCTACTACACATCTTTTCAAACTTAAGTAATAGGTGATAAAGACCTTGGTCAACTAAAGATTGAGATGCTGCATTCCTTTTTCAAGAAAATTACTGAATAACACACTATCTTGGCTTCAGGCCTGTTGACTTTAAAGAGTAATGGGATTACTGTTAGACTACAGCCAATGAGCAATGTTTTTAAAATTATTTCCAGATTATGGAAAAGTCAAATGTACAAAATTCTGCAATGTAAATTCACCACTGTTTTCATTAGAAACAAATACTCTCTGCTGGAAGTCACGAGGAGTTAGCAGTATAGCAATAAATTCCCTGGGCTCAATCTCTTTTCATAATTATTTCCAAGTTGCAGTCCTCAATTTCATCTGTCTGTTTTTACTTTCACACATAATATATACTTAATATCTTCTTTAATTTGACCTTTTCAAACAACATTTTTTAAAAATGTTTTGACTATGAATAGAAAATAAATCTTTTGTCATAATTAAATGGCAATTACAGGTAAAATCCATAGTTACAGATTATATTCTACCTAGATTTTGTTGCCTACGGCCTGGCTCTCTCTTTGTTAAGAGGGACAATTTTAAAAGGAGGTTAGTGGTGTCAAAAGCATATTAGTACCAAATGGAAACTTTCCTTTATAAAATCAAATGGAGAATTGAAGAGGCAATAATTTGGTCATGATGGGATGAATTATTAATATGTCTTCCAGGTACATGCCCACATTTTGGACATTTCTTGTATATTGCATTAAGATGGCAGTACCATTAACATTGGAAATTATCCTCTAATTTTTGATTACAATTAACCTTAATCACATTTTTGTTTTTCAAATCACTCGACATTTATTATTTATTTATTTTTTAAAAATTTAATTTATTTATTTTAATTGGAGGCAAATTATAATATTGTATTGGTTTTTGCCATACATTGACATGAATCAGCCACGGGTGTACATGTGTTCCCCATCCTGAACCCCCCTCCCACCTCCCTCCCCACCCCATCCCTCTGGGTCATCCCAGTGCACCAGCCATGAGCACCCTGTCTGATGCATCGAACCTGGACTGGCGATCTGTTTCACACTTGATAATATACGTGTTTCAATGCTATTCTCTCAGATCATCCCACCCTCGCGTTCTCCCACAGAGTCCAAAAGACTGTTCTATACATCTGTGTCTCTTTTGCTGTCTTGTATATAGGGTTATCGTTAACCATCTTTCTAAATCCCATATATATGCGTTAGTATACTGTATTGGTGTTTTTCTTTCTGACTTACTTCATTCTGTATAATAGGCTCCAGTTTCATCCACCTCATTAGAACTGATTCAAATGTATTCTTTTTAATGGCTGAGTAATATTCCATTGTGTGTATGTACCACAGCTTCCTTATCCATTTGTCTGCTGATGGACATCTAGGCTGCTTCCATGTCCTGGCTATTATAAACAGTGCTGCAATGAACATTGGGGTACACGTGTCTCTTTCAATTCTGGTTTCCTCGGTATGTTCATCATGACATTTAATTCAAGGAGTGGGGTCACAAAGAGTCAGACATGACTGAAGCAGCTTAGGATGCCCTTAGCATATAATTAGGTTCAAATATTCGTGTTTGTGTGTACATACAAATGGGTTGAATTGTGTTCCCCACAAAAAAATTCATATGCTGAAGTGCTAACTTCCAGCCTCTCAAAATATGACTATATTTGGAAATAGAGTCTTTAAACAAATTAAGTTAAAATGAAATCATTTGGTGGGCCCTAATCCTATATGACTGGTCTTTTAAGAGGAGGTTAGAAGAAAGGTATTTACAAAGGGGTGATCATGTGAAGACACAGGGGAAAGATGGCCATCTAAAGCCAGAAAAGAAGCCTCAGAAGAAACCAATCTGCTGACACCTCTATCTCAGGCTGGCCTCCAGAGCTGTAGGAAAATAAATGTTAGTTGTTTTAGTCACCCAGTCTATGTACATCTATCTTCTTTCTCCTCCTCCTTTCCCTTTGTCTTTTACCTTCTCTCAATAGTTTCATGGGACAAATTTTTCTTGAGAAATAGTCAGGTACTTAATCTGTTCTTGCAAACTGCTTATATTTATTGGGGCTGTCACAGTGACAGTGGAAATAATACAACATAATTCAGATGAATGACACTATTTATCTGTCAGAAGTTTCATTAGAATATCTCAACTTCTTTGTATACCTTGGAACTTTCCCTGTGGTCTCTTGTGGTGTCATCATTTCAAGAGAATTTAGGAGATAACTGAGATTTTTAAATTATTTTATGAAAGTATAGTTGATTTACAATGTTGTGTTAATTTCTACTGTGCAGCAAAGTAATTCAAAGGTATTCATTCCTTTTTATATTTGTTTCCATTAATGTTTATCCCAGGATATTGAATATACTTCCCTGTGCTATACAGTAGGACTTTGTTGTTTA